TAGTGGGTCTATATCTGGGACTCTCCACCATTTGACCTTAGAACTGAAGAAGCTTCTTGGATGAAGGTGAAACGTCTTCAAGTAACTTAAAGAAGTCCAGACGCTTTTCTTTGCAAGCTCCTTTGACTGTGTGTTTATCAGTGAAACTTTTAATTTGTGTTAAATTTATCATGATCAATATATGAAATCTTCACCTTAAGGGACTTAATGAATGGTTTCTTCTAAAAATTAAAATATTGAGTCATTTCACATCATATGAAAATATTAATTTTTAATACAAATTTGGCCCTACAAAAATGGAAACTCAGTAACAAAGATAATGGAGATTCTCCAAACACGAGCGAATATCACAGTAAAATTGTTGATTGTGATTTACACATTGGATGTATCCTCAGTGATTTGGTACAATTATACAACATTTTATAAGAACTGAACAGCTGATGAAACAACTTACTTATGTGACCACATATGAAGTGTTATAACTTACCACAAAAGGTGAACTGTGCCACTGACCCTTGGTAGATCTGCACATGATAAAAAAAAAATGCATTATAAATACTAACACAGCTATTAATAATTAGGGGTACATTTAAGATGTTAATGTCACAAAATAAAATAGACTGGTAGAAAGAAGTACAAGGAAATGGTAATGGGGGGAGCCATGAAAATAGATCTTTTCAACATGATTCAGTGTGACAAAGCCAGGGCATGATTAAAAAAAACAGGTTGTCACGGTCCTGGGTCAGTGACCCAGTGTTCTGAGTTTCTTGTGCCTCTGAGTTTTTTGTATTATGTTCTTAGTTCTCTTTGTTGTCCCAGCGTATTCTTTAGTGTAGTGTCTTAGTTTGGTGTTCTTGTATTCTGTTTAGTTCTGAGTATTTGGTAGCTGCCCTCTGTGTTTCTTACTTGCTCTGTCTCCCCTAGTCTAGTTTGCATCTGTGCTAATTCCTGTTTTACTTTGAAGGTCTGTGTCTCATGTGAGTGTGTCCTACTTTGCTCCCTTGTCTCGTCAGTTCTGATTTCTCCCAGCTGCGCTCTCCTTCTGTGTCTCATTCCCATTGTATTTAAACCCTGTGTTTCTCTGAGTCAGTGTCGCGTTGTCCCTCAAGCTGTGTGTTTCCTCGTGTGCCGCTCTGCAAGGTGTGAGTTTATATTTTCCCAGTTTAGTTTTGTATGCTCGTTTTCTGTGACCAGCAATTAAAGCTGTGATTTTGAGTTCATCCCCTGAGTCTGAGTTCTGCATTTTGGGTCCAACCCCTGCCCACAGCGATTCATGACACAGGTCTTTTAACCTAAAAATGTTTTAATGGCCATGAAGAAAGGACTCTTCAATAGATCTTTCAACTCACCTGTGTTTACTGTCTCCACCTGAAATTAACTGCAGTCTGAATTTTTTTTCTTCTGTCTTTTTCTCTTCGGTCTTCAGCCTTGGAAGAAAAAATAAAAATATTGATAACCTTATTAGTAGGGGTGCAACGATACTCGTATCGATATTGAACCGTTCGATACAGTGCTTTCGGTTCGGTACGCATATGTATCGAACAATACAAAATTTTTAATTTATTTTATCAACTTTCCTTCTGACGATGCTGTCTGTGTGGAGCACTCAGTGAATCTGTGTTCAACTACTCCGCCTAGGCTGCACTGTCGAGCGCAGATCCACTGAGCGCTCCACACAGACAGCATCGTCAGAAGGAAGAGCGCAGGGCAAGCTAGCGAGACAGAAGTTAAGCTCTCCTGGCAACATGGACCTCCCCCACCCTCATTCAGATCTGGCGTTTGGAATTATTTTGGTTTTCATGTGACGTATGACCCTGAAGGTAAGCGAGTCATGGACTAAAGTAAAACAGTATGTTGGATGTGCCACGCAATGCTCAATTACATGGGTGGGAGCTAGTGTGTTAGCGCAGTTAGCTCGTTAACGTGTTGGCCCTCTAGCCCCGTGCATGGGGCTAATCAGGGTAGCTCGTCAACGGAGATTTGCCGTGTTGTGGCGTTAAGGTCATTTTAACGAGGTTAACCTGAAAGCACTAGTGGGAACACAACGAATATGACTGCACATTTACGCCGACATCATCGCTAGCCCGACGTCCTGGGGCTAGGACGCTAGCGATTTTTCCAGTCCGGCTACCAAAATCTATCTCTGCCCTGCCTGTCGGGCTATTGTACGAAAAATATATGTCAATGCTTTTGCATTCTTTCAGAAATGTAGCTGGGTAATTATGTCATTGGCATCGGTGAGCCACTGTCAATATGTGACATTGAAATCGCGTTTGAATTTGCACTTGTTTTTTTGCTTTCACTTTGCAATCGTGCGAACTGTGTATAGAGATCGACAGCACTGATCTGTGAGTGATGATAATTTGTGCACCAATTCCTCTGACATCGTCTTATTAATCGTTAGCTTACTATGCAAACATGACAAGTGAAATCTCCCGCAGCTTAAACATGTGAGAGGTTGATCGCGCAGAGAATCGCTGAGCTTATGTGAGTGCGTGTGTAAAAGCATTTCAGTTCTGCTGAGCCAAATAAGACAGGTCAGGGTGAAGAAGTGACAGCCAAAGAAAAGCTTACCACAAAACGGAGAAGTTATGACAAATCAGACTATAAGGCAAAAAGAAAGTGCAGCTTTATGTTTCATGGAAAAAGAATTCCTGTGGCTGCAATATGACGACTATATAACCAGGGCTGCACATAAGTGGTCCCAGGTGCGCATTCGCTGTCAAAATAAAAAAACACGCACAAGGGTTAGGGTTAAATTTAAAAACTGTACTTTTGAGTTAAAATATATATTTATAATTTTAATAAATGACAAATTAAAAAGGCATGAACATTTTATTTTGTATCGAAAAAATATCGAACCGTGACACCAAAGTATCGAACCGAACCAAACCGTGAATTTTGTGTATCGTTGCACCCCTACTTATTAGCACACTAAATATACAAAACCTTGCTATATTTCAATTGTTTTAGATAGAAGTTGCCACTGCTAGCTAAGTCACTTTTGAATGATGCTAATGAGAAGAGAAAAAAAAGCCTGCCGAACAATGAGGCTGTTGTTGTAAAAACGCCAACTTTCTTGCGTTGGCAAGGGGTCGTTAAAATATCACTAAGACCCTTTGTGTGTGATTCTTAGTAAAACTGTGTTTTAATCGGGTAAAACTGTAAAACTGACGACATAATCTATGTTTGGAAAAGAGCGCGAACAACAGCGAACAACTATTCACCACCTGGGTCTGTGCTTTTTAACACAACAGCGCATTCGAAAAGAAGTTCTTGCCTGCAACATATTAATATACTTGCTTTTTTACGGAAAAAATAAACATAACGAAGGTTCCGTTTTACTTACAAGTTTCTCCAAATGTGCTCTCCAGTCGCTCGAGAAGGGCAGCCATATTGAACAGAATTTTCTGTCAACGTCGTTCAGGTTAGAGAGAAACGTCATGACGTATTGACGTACACATGCGGAGCTCAGAAAAAAACATTTACTCAAAATCATAATTAAGAAAGCAGTATTTACTCTTAACTTCTAAGCCATGTACAATTATAACTGTTTGAATCGTTAACCGAACAGAAAAGTTTTAAGTTGTTTCAACTTTGTGAGGAATTTCAATTGTTATAGCCACAAACTTTATAAGTCAGGTAGACTGTTGGGGTTTACAGTGTAAACAATAAGCACACTAATAATCAAAAAGGAAAATATTTAATAATAAAAAGAACTTTAATATCCAAATACAAAATTCTGGGTCAATGGCTATTGACCACGATAATCGTCATGTGCGAATCGCTTTAGTTTGTAGCCAGTTCCAAGTTAAATCCATTTTAACAATTGGAGTTTGTTGGGTGTAGAAAGCACATCTTTAGTGCTGAGGGAAATTGCCAAGAAAATGTTTGTTTTAACCTCTGGACAGAAGAAAGAGGACAAGGAGACCTTGTGGTAGAATGAAGAAGCACAGGAAAGAATTCAAAGGAAGAGGTTAGTTACATGTGTGTGAATGAGAGGGAGACAGGTGTAGCAGTGAAGCTGCAAAGAGTAGCGATAGTGAGGGTATAAGTGTTTAAAGAGGAGCAGAAAGAAGAAGAAAAAAGAAGTTACGAAAGTAAATGTTTTCTAGTAGCAGCAATTCCAGCAGACTTAACTACAGATTCATACCAAACATAAGAATAAATTGTATGTTATGTAAATTCCAGTGGAAGTATAATGATTTATTTAAGATCTTTATTTATTTACAATATGATTTATTTGATCTTTTTTTACAGGATGTGCACTGAGGATCGTATTGTTTGGAAAGAGTGATGACAAAAAAATAGCACTGGAAAATATCATCACTGGAAAAAGAGAGAGCAATGTTAGTCTTAAACCTTCAACCAAACACTGTGTGGCAGCCAGTGGCGAGTGGAACAAGAACCCAACAACAGTAGTGAGAATGCCAGACTTGTTCAATCTGTCTGTGCAAAGAGTGAGACAAGAGCTGAAGAGGTGTGTGAAGCTCTGTCATCCTGGACCAAATGTTCTGCTGTTAGTGAAACCTTCTGATTTCACTGAGGAGAACAGGAAAATTCTGAAATTCATCTTGAATCTGTTTGGTCAAGAGGCTTTTAAACACTCAATGTTTTCTATGACATACAATGGAAAAGGGATAACTCAGTGGAAAAACTCATCCAGGACTGCCAAGAAAGGGTGCACAGATTTGGTATTGATAAAAACGATTTCAAACAAGAATTGATGGAGAAAATTAAAAAATTCTGGGGGAGACTAAAGAAGGATATTTGACTTTAAATGAAGAAGCAGATTTTGTGGCAATGTTTAACAGATCAAAACCTCTTCTGAACCTGGAGGAGCAGGGAAGGCCTCAGCAGTTAATGCTATTCTGGGACAAAAGAGGTTTGATCCACCTAGCAACTCATCAGAGTGTGTTAAACATCAGGGAGAGGTGTGTGGACGTTGGGTTTCCCTGGTGGAGCTGCCTGCCTTGTATGGAAAACCTCAGGAGGCAGTGATGGAGGAATCACTCAGGTGTATCTCCCTCTGTGATCCTGAGGGTGTCCATGCCTTCATCCTGGTGCTACCTGTGGCTCCCCTCACTGATGAAAACAAGAGAGAGTTAGAGACACAGGACACATTCGGCTCTCGAGTCAATGACTTCACCATGATTCTGTTCACTGTGGACTCAGATCCTACAGATACAGCTGTTGGTAACTTTCTAAATGGAAACCAGGACATCCAGCAGCTCTGTGAGAGCTGTGGAGGAAGATCTGTTGTCGTCAACATCAAGGACAAACAAGAGGTCTTCAAGATTTTCATCATTTTGGAAAAAATTACTCTAAAATCTAAAGAGAGCAAATTGTGCAGCTACACAACTGAAACATTTACATATGCACAAATAGAAAAGATCATAGAAAAAGAGAAATGTATCACTGAATTGCAGGCTGAACTTAACGACCTGAAAACAAAGACTACAGTAAGCTGTAAGTAATGCACATTTTTATAAATGCCATTATGTTTATGTTGTAAACATTTCCCTTTTAATTAATAATATTCAAACTGTCAGTATCCAATTTAACTCATTCCAACTCATTTTATAGGTAATGAACAGATGCAGAGCCCAGAAAGTCTCAGGATTGTGCTGATAGGTAAGACTGGCTGTGGAAAAAGCACTTCAGGAAACACAATTCTAGGAAGAGGAGATACATTTGTATCTAAACCTTTCCAAAAGTCGGTCACCAAGCGCTGTCAGAAAGAACAGGGCGATGTGAACGGTTATCCTGTTATTGTGGTCGACACTCCTGGATTGTTTGACAACAGTTTAACACATGAACAGATCAATGAGGAGATGTTGAAATGTGTCAGTCTTCTGGCTCCAGGACCACATGTCTTCCTACTGGTTGTACAGATTGCCAGATTCACACCAGAAGAAAAGGAGACATGGAACTGATCAAGAAAGTCTTTGGGAAGAACTCTGAGAAGTTCACCATTGTTCTTTTCACAAGAGGAGATTCACTGGAACATGCAAAGGTGTCTGTTGAAGAATACATTGAAAACTCTGATCATTCCTTGAAGAAGCTGATCTCTGACTGTGGAGGAAGATACCATGTGTTCAATAATTATAAGCAGAACTGCACACAAGTGAATGAGCTGATAACAAAGATTGACACCATGGTGAAGAACAATGGAGGAAACTACTACACCAATGAGATGCTGCAAGAGGCTGAAACTGCAATACAGAAAGAAATGCAGAGGATCCTGAAGGAGAAAGAAGAAGAGATGAAGAGACAGCAGGAAAAGCTTCAAAGTACATATGAGGAAAGAATCCAATCCATGAATAAAAGAATGGAAGAACAGAAAGCAGAAATTGATCAGGAAATAAAGCTGAGAGACGAACAACTTAAAAAACTGCAGGACAGCATCCGCATTCAGTCTGAAGAGAGGAAGAAAGAACAAGAAATTAGAGACGAAGAAGACAGGAAGAAAACAGAAAAGGAACAACTTCAAAGACGAGAATGGGAACAAACAATACAAGAACTTGAGGAAAAACTACGATCAGAGTCAGAATCAAGGGAAATAATCGATAAAGAGTGTGAACATTACAGAGAAAGAACAAGAGAGCAGCAAAAGACTTGGGAGAAGGAAATAAAGGAATTGGAGGAAAAACGTAAACAAGAAGATAAACAGAAAGAAAAAAAAATCAGCGAGCTTCAAGAAAAATATGATCAAGTAAAAGAAAAGTTGAAACATGAAAGAAAAGAAAAAGAGGAAAGAATAAAAAAGAGAACAGGAAGGGAAGCTTAAAGACTTGGAGGAGAACTATCAGAAACAAATTGAGAACATGCAGGAGAAGTTTAAAGAAGAGGCCAGAAAAAAAGCTGAAGAATTCAATGAATTTAGAGAGAAAAAGGAGAAGGGTTTTGCAGAACTGATTCAAAAACACATTGACTGAAGCAGCAACTGAAGCAGCAACATGAGAAAGACATGCAAGACAAGAAGGGAGAATACGAAGATTAAAGGATCTGTCAGAACACAAAGAAAATAGTCTAAAGGAAGAGATAGATGACCTGCTGGGTAAACATAAATCAGAAATAACGGAATGAATCCTCATGTTTCTAACTCAGAAGAAAGAAAACAAGACTGAAATAAAAACAATGCAGGAATCATATAGATCGAAGGTGGAAAGGTGTGAAAAAAGACTTTCAAAGGAGAACCAAGAAGAAGAGAAGGAAAAAATTGGTAAACTACAGAAGAAACAAAAAGAGGAAATCAAAAACTTAAAGGAGGAACTAGGATCTTGTGGAGCAGGGAAATTATTTTACTGCTATTGTTAAATAATTGTCATCATTACCATTGCATTAATAATATAATCTGGAGTTTATATTGCATTCAGGGGTTGAACAGTGTGTCTCTTTCAGAAAGGCTAAAAGTCACAGGCTGACAGGAAACAGGCTTGCAGAGAGTTTGCAGAAGCAGGAAGTTATTTTGAGCAGCAGGCTAAGACGAGGCTTTAACAATGTAACAGATAGCTTTAAGATGGCCTTAAGATGTTTATGATGATGTTAATTTTGTATTTCAGGTGCAGTTATGACTATTTTATACACAATGCATATCTGTGCTTATTAAAGAGTTGGAGCTCGGTCAATTAATTGGGGGTCGGAAGCTTTGTTCGGCGCGATGTCCGGACAATCTATTGTGCAAGTGACTTGGAGCCATAGAAGGAATTGCAATACATGCTTACAAAACACTTATATATCAGGTCATTTCATATTAAGGTTTTAGTAGAAGTTCTTGGTTAAAACATTTATTTAGTAGAAGACATACATATAGTCTCAGTGAGCCTCTGGTCTGGTGAAAGGTCAGAAGTGCAACAGGTGAATTGAGAAAGAGCATGTGAGGTCGTGACACACACACATGAGTTAAATTTATTTAGAGGAGAGATTAGTCATGTCTGGTTGTAACTGCAAAAGTGTCTCGGTAAAAGAGGAACCGTCCTTGTTGTCTCGGCAAGAAAGAGGAACAATTTACTTTAAGACAAGAACGGAAAGTACCAGCCATGAAAATAGAAGATGATCTTCTGGGTTAAAAGCCATTGTGGTGTTGATCTGATCTATGTATAAAATGTATCTGTGACGCATGAAGGGGCATCAGTAAACAAGCCCTGACGGTATAAAATCTGTGTATGCTTTGAGGAAGTCGGAGATCACTTGCTGTCGGCGTACAGAGTGTTCTTCCCACACGTGTGTATTCATTAAAATCATTGTTTGACCAAGAGCTCCTGGACCAAGGGTGGTTTGTACTCTCCTTCCTCAATTTTGAACCTTAACATTTGGGGGCTTCGTCCGGTGATTGAGGAGGGAGGATTGGAGGTTTAGATGGAGAAATTTGGTGGTCTCTGAGGTGGTCTGACGGGCAGACATGAATTCCAGTGGTCGAAGTGAGTGGGCATAAGCCGGCTTATCCAAAAGGTAAGGCACTACCTGTTGAATTATTTCCAAAGTGTGCCAAATTGGACATGATAAGATTTAAGTCTACTCACTGAAGTTACTGGTGGATGTCTGTTTTGATTTTGATGAAAATCTCATGAGTTGATGCAGTTAGAGTTCTGCTAAGAAGAAAGAAGAAATGAAAGCAGTAAAGTCTGCTAAAGCAGTTAGAGTCTGCCAGGAAAAGTTTAAATACTGGGTTGAAGTCCCAAAGAAATTGAGTTAGAGTCTCAAGTAGTTTGGTAGGGTATTTGGTCATTTTGTGGGTTAAAGTCCTGGTTGGTCATTAGGTCAGACCTTGGTTGGTCATTTTGTGGGTTAGAGTCCCCATTGTCCATCAGGGTCGATCTGCCTCAGTTATACACTTGTTTTGGGTGTTGATTGTTGTTTCAAAGTATTATAAATTATTCTAGGACGGCAGTTCGAGTCTGCTAGGAAGCGCAGTTCTCGGAGGTAATGCTCCCTCCCGGCCAAGGACGCTTGGCCCTGACCTATCGGCGAATAGGGTTAGTACGGTTGGCAACCGGGGAGAACTTGGGAACCTCCAAAATAGCTAGGAGTTAGAGTCTCCTTACCGTTTGGAACGGTAGTCTGCGCTTTTTTTGGTCGGAAGAAGTTGGACTTCGGGCGTGTAACTTTAACTTAAAACTTCAGGGTAAGCCTTGGCTGGGAAACGCCAAAAAATAGAGCTTCAGGCAAAGTTTGGGTTGGTTGACGCTTTTAAATTGAGTTAGGGATTTTAGAGATGAGGCCAGAAACAGTAGAGTCTGATACTGGTTAATTGGTCGCAAAAAACTCAGGGAGTTTATCCGCTGGGCGGTTATTTTAAATTTGTCTAAATTGTGTAGGCGCTAAAGCTGACAGATCTGACAGTGGTTGTAAATATAAGACGTCGTTGTAATATAAAATAAGAGATCTCTGTGTGAAAGGAGTCTGAGGCAATGCTGGAGCTATTTTTAGACGGTGTGTGTGTGAGTGAAAATGCAAATGAGTAAGCAGTGAACTGTTTAAACCACAGTTGGTTTTACAAATACTGCTGCAAACATTGTTGAGTGTGTGTTTCAAATGCCATTTATGTTTATTAGAGGACTATAAATAAAGTTTTGAGTTGCCGTAGTGGATGTATAGTAATTGACTGAGTTTGGATGCAGATATATAAATATATTGAGTGCACTGTATATACTTAAGACTAACACATTACTTGCAGTAGTAACTTTTCTCCAACATTAGTTGCTGGTGTGGTTTATTTTTAATTTCTTGTGTGTGCGGTGAGAATTAATGGAGGTTTCAATTTTTTGTTTGTTTGTTTTTTACTTGCTCTTTTTGATTATGACAAGCATGTCTAAAATACTCTTAGGAAAGTGTGTTTTGAGTTATATTCCTCAACTCTGGTCACACTTTAAGTGTGTGAATGCGGTGACTAGAAGGTTTTGAATGATGAATAAAGGTGTGAGAGGTATTTCTTTGGTGATGTAAAGTAGGATGTTTTAAAGTTTGAAAGTGTTTTTAATTTAAGAGATGCATGAGTGATGTTATAAGAGTTTAGTTTATTTAAAAGGTGTGTGTGTGAGAGGATTATGAAATCATTGTGTGAATGATGCTACATTTTAGATCAAAAGTTAGTAGAATTACAGAGGGTTTGTAGATTGTAAATACAAAATAAGTTTGATTAGCCTGCAGAAACAGAAAAGCAGCTTGAGCTGCTCTGAGGAGCTGTGTGTGTGTGACAGGAAGTTACATGCGCATAAAAGGAAGTGACTGTGACGAGTGAGCACCCAGAGAGAGAAACAGATGAGTTAAACTCTAGGCAGATAAAGCGAATGGAGGTTTTGAGAAAAGAAATGAAAAGGATATTAATTGTATGTTTTAGTGTGTCAACACAGATTACAGATAAATAAAGGTGGACTTCTCTCAACCTGGAATTTTGAGTACGGCGCCAAAACCACTAGAGTAGCATAATTGGGAGAAAACAGGCCAGATTTTGGCTTAAAATTTTACAGCTTGACCTCGCACTTGTCCCCATCCTGAGAAGAAGCTCAAAGGACAGTTAATCTCCTGATGAAGACCGACAGAACATCGTGGACTTCAAGAATTAACAGCAGCCAAAAGACAGTGCAACTGACTCGTTAACACTGAAACCAAACTGACGGGACCAGCAGCAGCATGGAAAAGCACACGGTGCAACATGTACTGTAAATTACAGGCGGGGCAGTTGAACAGTGGGATAATGAGCTGTGGAAAGCACTGGACATTGATTGTCCGATTTGCCATGCTTGGAGTAATCTTGAAAGAGATAACTGAGAGGATCAACAGAAAAGAAGAAACCACGTGATGAAACATGCACGGTGGACAGCAGGCTGGTAAGAACAGTGTGACATGACTGTTTAAAGGCACTGAATGTGGTATTTTGCCAGGCTGGGACTTGATCCAAAGGAAAATACTGAAGAGAAACAGAGAAGAAACAGACTGTGTTTGCTGGAATTCAAGACAACAAAAGGACACTGAGAGAAGAGGACAGTGACCAGTGAGAGGCGAAGCCGGACGAGTTCGACTGTGAGAATACAGGGTGTAATTGGATTGAAATGATAGCTTGAACTCATGATGGTTTAGAGATGTCCACCGTCACAAACAAAGAGGTAAACAAGAATAGAAAACACACATAGACAAAGTGTTACATGTGAAATTATTTCTGGAAAGGATCAGAAGTGAGATAGTTTTGAATTAAGAAATCAGGGAAAAGATGCATGAATTAAACCTGACTATAACATATAGAGGCAATAAAGAAAGCAGCTTACACTCACTGAACAAAAATACATAGGAAACGCAATGAAGACCTGCTTACACGTATATACATGACATAAGTTGATATTTCTGACCAGAGAGAGGGAAACAGGTAGTTTAAGTACTTATGATAATAATGAAAATGTCTCAGTTGTGTTTCTTTAGGGGCGAAACAGACCTGGATCAATTCTCCACATGCAGCGGTCGGAAGAAACCTGTAGGTTAACTTGACTGGACATGCCAAGGCAAGTTTCTGGTTGAATTGTTCACAGCGCCATGTCTCCATAAACCTGACAAGTGGGCCCTAACTTCTGGCTGAGGAGCAGGAAGGGTGTTAATAAGGTGGGAATTTAGAATTTGGGTTAGCAGATTTGGGAAAGAAACTGACGGCTTAAGTGGAGAATTGTGCAGGAGTCTGACACACTGCAAAAGCAACATAGGCAAATTCACACACACAAACAGAAAATGCATTAACCTTATAAAGACAAGACAAGCTCATGGAGATTAATGCATAGACACTGATTAAACCTGGCCAAGAACACAAACATATGCAATGAAGAACAGCTTGCTATTTTGTATGAATGATACAATGGTGTGAATGTTTAATAAAATGCATTTGAGTTTGTAATTGAGGAATAGAAGAAGCCATATGACAAAGGGAGTGAGTTATGTAAACAAAAAGTGATTAAAGTAGTTTTAAAAGAGTGACTTAGGAGTGCTCTCTCGTACTAAGTGATCAAAACTAGTGATCACTGTAGAAAGAAATAAAATGATTTAATGAGTTGGTGATGTTTAAACATATGTTTCTGTTGTTACAGCAACTCATTGAGACATGACTCAGTATGCAAATTAGTTGGAGTGAGTGGTGACGAAGGAACTTCCTGTGTGTGTGTGTGTGTGTGTGTGTGTGTGTGTGTGACTGAGGAAGTGACTTTCAGAAGAAGAAGCATGGCAGACAAGAGAAGTACAGATTTGGGTAGGAAATTTATAGTTTAGTGATATGTTGTTGTAAGGGGGTTATGTTTTATGCTGAATTGAAGTATGTTACAGAGCATAAGGGGGTGATTTTTGTGTGCAAATTGTGTGGTTTTAATGAGACTTTCGGTGTATTGAGGAGGTGAAATTATGTGGTGGCAAGACATAATTTCTTGCCACCACATAAGGTTGTTGAGGTTGTTGTGGTGATGGGTTGATTTTGTCAGTTAGGTTCGGGTTGTTGTTGTTTTTGTTTTTAATAGAGGGAGTTTTGGGAAACATGGACATGTCTAAAATTGGGCCCATTATTTTGTAACAGTGCACTTAAAGAAAACCTGTCAGGTGATTTTGATTTTGTTCTCATGAGCTAATAATCAGCTCTATTTTTTCATTTCTGTTTTAAGCAGGCCTGCAACAGTGAATAACGGCGCTGAAAATTCTCGGGAGGAGCAAATATAAGGGGGCTTTCCAGATTACAATTGGCTGAGGAGAAAGCTACCTGTGGGGGACTATTCAGGTCGTAAGTCCCTGTAAAAAGGATTTTATGCGAGTCAATCCAGTCCAAAAGCATAAAGAAATATTTTCCTATGGAAAATAAAAAATGACTGAGCTCATTTTGCTGAGGGTGGAGAATCTGACGCGGGAAGCTCCACTATTAGCAAAAATATGGTGTGAATGTGTGAGTGAATGTGAGGATGAATACATGTGGACAAACAATTTGTTTTTACCAGAGAAAATTTCTGTTTTGTTTTGTTGACTGGGGTTAGATTATGGGATTATAGTATATTGTTGGGAGAATGCCAAATCCTAAAGGGGAAACATTTTGATGTAACTCAGTTATCATTAATTGAAGAAACACATGACTGATAACTGTTCTGTTTTAAGTTTATTTTTATGACATACATTGGATCATGAGTGGGGAAACTGAGCATTTTTAAGTTTTGTATAGTATCTTGACACATGAAATGTATCAAGATAAAGGGGGGTTTAGGGTTTATTAATTTAATTGTTTAATAATTTAGGATCATTTTAGGACCTTTTGGGTTTTTGATCATTTGGATATGGTAAAACTGAAACTGTTATTTTTAAGTTAAGGTTAAAGGATTAAAGTGAACTTGTCACGGTTTGCGGGGCAAGCCGTGTGGAGTTGTAGAAAAGGACCCAAAAGGCGGCAGCTCTGGTGCAGGTGAATATTTATTTACAACGGTGGGCACAAAACAGCACTGGTGGAAAAACAAGAAACCGGAAACCTAAACTGGGTAAGCTAATAACACAAACCAGAGAGCACGGGGAGAACACAGACATAACAGGCTGGGGGAAACATGGAATAAACACAAAGAGAGACGAGAGCTCATAAATACACAGAGGGGCACAAGGGGGTAAGAGTCACAAAGGGAAAAACACTTAGGGAACACCACAACAGGACACCTCAGAAAACCTGGCCTAAATAAGGAGCGAAAATACAAGGAACCAAGAATACTGGGCCAACATGGCCCAGGACCATGACAGAACTGAATCCTGTCTAGAAGATACAATACCAGGGTTCAAAGCTGTGAATAAATCTTAGAGGGAAAATTAGTGAGGGTTGAAGGGGTAGAACAGGTTTGATTTCTTTTTGATTTCTAGAAGTAGTGGTTATAATGTAAGCTTACACATACAGATATTACATAGAAGGTATTTTTAGGATAAAGGGGAGAGCTTATAAATAGAAATGATTTTTATACATATTGCATTTTTTGATATGAGTTATTGAAGTTATTGAAGGATTGCACGCGTTTACAGACACAGAGTCCATAAACACACATAACAGTATTGATTCCAGGCAAAAGGCCTCAAATTCATTTAGCTTTTTGACTGAACTTAAAGAAGGACCAAAGAGGAAGGAAAGCATATATTTTGGTTAAGTCTGATAAATTAGAATTAGAAGGTATTGTTACATTAAAGGGAGCAAAATGAAATAAAAAGGCTATACCAAAAACAGGTGATAACATAGGAAATGTGAGGTTTTAAAATGAAGTTAGTGTTAACACACAGGAGTTGTTTCAAGGCAGCATTTAGCTATGATGAAATGTATATAGGAGTAATTGCTTATATGCTTAAACTTAATTGATTAAAGTGGTTGTTTTCTTTTGGATCTTTTAGAGTAGAGGAACTTGCAGCAGCGACAATTTGTGCACAGGATGTTGATGATCAGATAGGGAAAAATAGAGCGAGCAACCGGACGTGAAAGCAGGGCTTAAAGAGTTTTAAGGTGATGAGTAACGTTGAAGAATATACATATAAGTCAATAAGTTAAGAGCGTAATTAGGATCATGCTTTTGATTACAGAGTCCCAAAAAGGATAAGTTAGGGAGGTGCAGGAAAAGGTGTTTTGTTTCCTTTGCAGAAGATCTCAGCGACCACAGGAAGGGCGAGGATCCTGGAGATCTCGAGGCCTGCTGAACCACCAGAGAGGGACCGAGAAAACCTAAGCTTACACATGGAGTGTTCTCGAATGGGAGCTGGTTGAGCCAGAGGACGGCTAGAGAGGGTCTGAGCGAGGACACAATGTATTGCGACCTCTGGTGTTCCAGAGGTCGAGAGAGGGAGTGTGGAGCAGGGAAATTATTTTACTGCTATTGTTAAATAATTGTCATCATTACCATTGCATTAATAATATAATCTGGAGTTTATATTGTATTCAGGGGTTGAACAGTGTGTGTCTTTCAGAAAGGCTAAAAGTCACAGGCTGACAGGAAACAGGCTTGCAGAGAGTTTGCAGAAGCAGGAAGTTATTTTGAGCAGCAGGCTAAGACGAGGCTTTAACAATGTAACAGATAGCTTTAAGATGGCCTTAAGATGTTTATGATGATGTTAATTTTGTATTTCAGGTGCAGTTATGACTATTTTATACACAATGCATATCTGTGCTTATTAAAGAGTTGGAGCTCGGTCAATTAATTGGGGTCGGAAGCTTTGTTCGGCGCGATGTCCGGACAATCTATTGTGCAAGTGACTTGGAGCCATAGAAGGAATTGCAATACATGCTTACAAAACACTTATATATCAGGTCATTTCATATTAAGGTTTTAGTAGAAGTTCTTGGTTAAAACATTTATTTAGTAGAAGACATACATATAGTCTCAGTGAGCCTCTGGTCTGGTGAAAGGTCAGAAGTGCAACAGGTGAATTGAGAAAGAGCATGTGAGGTCGTGACACACACACATGAGTTAAATTTATTTAGAGGAGAGATTAGTCATGTCTGGTTGTAACTGCAAAAGTGTCTCGGTAAAAGAGGAACCGTCCTTGTTGTCTCGGCAAGAAAGAGGAACAATTTACTTTAAGACAAGAACGGAAAGTACCAGCCATGAAATAGAAGATGATCTTCTGGGTTAAAAGCCATTGTGGTGTTGATCTGATCTATGTATAAAATGTATCTGTGACGCATGAAGGGGCATCAGTAAACAAGCCCTGACGGTATAAAATCTGTGTATGCTTTGAGGAAGTCGGAGATCACTTGCTGTCGGCGTACAGAGTGTTCTTCCCACACGTGTGTAGTCATTAAAATCATTGTTTGACCAAGAGCTCCTGGACCAAGGGTGGTGTGTACTCTCCTTCCTCAATTTTGAACCTTAACAATCTAAAAACAAAGACGAACAGAAAACACAAAGAAACAGGCTGTCCATCAAACATGAACAAGAAATGTCAGATATGAAACAAAAACTCTTAGACCAACATCAGCAAAAACAGAAGGGTGAACTGGATAACTTACAAAAAGAACATGACAAAAAACTGAAGAAATTCAAACAAGAGCTTCTAAAATAAAGTGGAACAAATGAGAGAGAAAACTTGATGAACTGCAGAAGAAGCATGAAAAAGAAATGAATGGATTGAAACGGAAACTTGGAACGTAAGATGAAGACGGTACCAGGCAAGAACTAGATGAAATACAGAAAAACATGCTAAAGAGATGAGTGAGTTGAAAGAGAGACTATGAACTTCAGAGGAGGAAAAGTCGTGCTTTGTCTCATGAGCAAAACTGGTAAGTCACAAAGAGATATTTCATCTACACACATTAATAATGTAACTTTAATCATCTTTACTGTTGTCCACAATTTGTTGTGGTTGCTACTTCTTGTCTCAACCCATAGATAAGAAACTTATAAAACTTTTTTCCATTTTGTAACATCACAATAATAGACATCAGCCAACTGTCACATTATGTCCTGTTGAAGAAACATCGTGACTGAGTTCCAGCGCTACACGAGGGACCTGCTGCAAACATACCACCATGCCAATCAGATTACTTCTTCCATGTGAGGGTGAAGAGGTGACCCTTCTGGATAAGATGGTGAAGGTTTGCTGCGTTTGGTGAACAGTGTGATAATAAAACCAGGGAAAATGAAACCTGCTCCTGTTAAATATTCTTAAGTCTTTTGCTGTATAAATGGCGGTATTTTTTCAAAAGATACAGTAAATAATGTTAGTAGTGGATGATATCATGTAAACACTGTCATGATTTTATGTAAACATTTTATCATTTGTAAACTATAAAGGACATGGATTCTACATTGTACCTGATGTGATGTTCTATAAAGTGGTTTTAATAAAAAAAAAAAAATAATAAAAAAAAAGGCAAAAATTAGTTTGTTTCTTTATTCAACTTTTGAACAGTGGTACTCAGTCAGTACATATTCAGTAAATGCAAATCATTTACACGGCAGTGCACTGCAGGCATAAATCTAGACCCCTAGATAAAACATTATGGGTCATTCCCACAACCCACAGCTTTACTGTGTTCCAGCAAACTATCCAATAGCAGTGACACTCCTCCACAGTAGCAGGTGGGATTTTTCTTTTTGAGGACGGCTCCTTTTACCTTCAATACGGATGGTCTGTTTATGTTTTGATCGAGAGCCTTTTTTTGGGCAGCTGGAGAGGAGAAGTCCATCTTATGGCCAACCTCTGGCTGTATTTGGTCACATTACCCAGCAAAACCCAGTATGCAGGTTCATCTGTAACAGTCCTTGTGCCACGGATCAACACTGTTGCTTCTACATTAAACAGAAGAGCAGCGACATGGCTGCAGGTCTCCATGACTCCGGCCATGCAGGTGGAGTGGGCGGCTTCAACCTTCCCTGTGATGCTCACAGTGACCCATGGCTGCAATGCTGGTTCATTCAGTCTTTGAGAGTGCAGGACCTGAAACACACACAGACAAAGTTCATTTAAAGACAAGAACTATGAGCCAAGGCCGACATAAATGTGTTTTATCTACTTTATCATAAATGTAACAAAGTGTTTAGAAAGTTAGCACATACATGTATTTTTCATTTCTTTATGTGTCCATCGCATGTTATAGTGTAAATCTGTCTGTTCTCTGTCAGAAACCTGCCTGCAGAAAATGAACCTAAAGTATGTAATGCAAGGATGTCATCACTGTAGAGATGGAGAAAGCATAAAGTGACAATTATGAATCACTTAATATGATAATGAGATTCTGCAGGTGTATAATGTATAAAACTAAAACAAAATGTATTTTTAGTGACACAGGATACAAACATGGAAGCAAGATGTATAATTAGAATTGTTTATAATAAATATGAATAAATCATTGCAATTTCTTTAACCATAAAGAATAACTAAATCCTTCAGGACAGTGTCACATCAATGCACTGAACTCACTATGTTATCCCTCTAACAGCCTCCACATGTTCTCACTGTCATTTCCCCTCATGAATGAATGTTTGCAGGGAAATCAAACGCATTTCACCGCAGTACTCGAGCTGACTTACCTTTGTTTGAATGATGACTTGTACGCACTGACTCCACAGATAAGGTACGAAAATATGTCAGGCTACGTCAATAGCGGTTGGTCTTCAGGGTTCTACTCCACGGCGTATTTCATACGGGTCCACATTTCCGATGCAGGCTATTTTCTGCAAGTACAGCCGCTTCGCCTCTGAACGAAATCGATCTCTACACAGTCCATTCTCTTTTGAGCTGCTTTTAAGCATCTTGTAATCGTCGTTCCAACACAGTGTGTTTGTTTTGATTCGTAGACCCCGAAAATGGTGCCGCGCTCCCACAATGGATTGCGGCGTGACGTCAACTCCAAAGCCCTATATTAAATAAATCATAATAATATAAATCAAACAAATTATTTTCTTAATTATTTTTTCCTTGTAACTGGGATTACAGATGTTAAAGTTGTAGGTTTCAGCTTTACACAGTGAACTTGTTTTTATTAAACCACCCCTTTTCTGGATTACTGATAAACATGAAAATAAACCAAGGGGAGAAACGAACTAGGACACTAAAATGAGGTGACTATGGTAAAACAGAAAACTATGAACAAACTGTGACTAGACTTATGACAACTACGAATACTATGAACACTAAGGACACTATACATGATCTGTAAGAATAACAAGAAATACTGTGACTTGATGTGGGGTAAGTAGCACAGACGACACAATGCTGAACACAGGAAGACAGAGGACTTAAATACACACTTGAGGTGATTAGGGGAAGTGGGGAACATGGAGGAAAAGCTGACTAGAATGAACCAAATGACACCACAGTGGAAGTTAAACTAAAGCAGTGAACATTGAACACAAGTACCCTTCAAAGTAAAAGAGAAACCATAAATATGATGCAGACGTGACATGGGTTAGACAGACAGGACACATAACAGACGAGACTCAATGAACAGACCCATCACAAAAAAAAAAAAATGTTTGTTGGCGGCGAACGTCACCTGGCAGGCGCAGGGAGTGCTGGAACTGGAGGTGATCTGGCAGGCACCAGGTACTCTGCACGTGGACGTAACCTGGCATGGCATTGACCTCTGGCTGGGTCGAAGCTGGACCAGACAGCGGTATGTCAACCACAGGTGATGGAGCTGGACCAGATGGTTGCATGGCAACCGCAGGTGGTGGAGCAGGTGGTGGCACTGCAGACGACAGAGTAGATGCCACTGGCAATGGCGCTGCAGGCGACGGGATTGTAGCCGAAGGTGGTTTGATTGATTGATATACCTTTATTAGTCCCACAAGGGGAAAGTTCATGTTAAGGCTGCCGACCTATTGCACGCAATGGCGGCGCCATCTTACCCATCTCCCCATACATGGGGAAGACAGGTCAGAGGGGTATAACATGGAAAAGCACAACATGAGGAAAGATAAGGAGAAAAAAATAACTCCCCCCAGACTGAGCTCCAACAGGGAGATCAGTTTGAGAACAGAAAAAACACCTCTGCACATGAAAACACTCTTAATACACCAAAGAAACACATGACAAGCAACAGGGGGCGGTAAAGGGTGAGAGACAGCCGATGTAGACAGCACATCCGGGCCTGCAGCATAAGCGCTGGTCTCCTTGATCCCCGTCAGCATCGGAAGGGAATAAGCATCGAAGGCGTTTGGAGGGGGAGGGGGGATGAGTGTATATCTGCATGTGTA